AAATCACCAGAGTTATATGAATGTATTGTTAAAGAAGTGTATATTTAATATATTGTCAGAATTATGCTTTCTATTAAACACATGTATGGATATTTTAGGATGCACTGACATATGATGATGTCCACATTAACTTCACTCCAGAAGAATGGGCTTTGCTGGATCCTTCCCAGAAGACTCTCTACACAGATGTGATGCTGGAGACCTACAGGAACCTCACTGCTATAGGTAAGACTATGACTTTTATTCCATTTTTTAAAATATGAGGAAAGGTGTTTCTTGGTTATTGAGCTCTTCTTTCATTTTGATTGTGAAAGAGGAACAATGTGGTAAATAAATCAGGCAGAGTTCTCAGGTTCATTCAGAAGAATAACTTAACTTTTCATCAGTTTTCATTATATATCATACATTTTCTGGTAATATATTTTAGGTTACAAATCAGAAGACAGTAATATTGAAGAACATCTTCAAAATTCTAGAGTACATGGAAGGTAAGTTTCATGTTCATACAAATGTGCCACTAAAGAAATCTGAGTGTGCCCTTGAAGTTTTAAGAAAACTCAGTATAATCAAGCATAGCTTTAAGTGTATTGATGATTAGTAAATTCACACAACACCATGTACCTCAATGTCAGGTAGTCTTGAAAAAAGCACAAGGAAACAATGACTTAACAGCTATTACATTTTAATTATATCCCCATGGGAACTGCTCTATAGAACTGCCAATAGATTTAGGTTGGTACATCTCAGTTATTGTGAAGGACATACACATAGATTAGATGATAAGTGTATGTCTAAAATCTTTTACTAGGCAAACATTCCATAATAAATCCCACATTACTCATATACATTTATTGATTTACCAAAGTATAGTGAGACGGGTAATTTATGAGATTCAAGTAGATTATGGTGTAGAAACCTTTATCCTGATATTACACCTCTGTGATGAACAAACAGTTAAACTGTGTGAATGGAATGTGGAAACCTTTCATTTTTTATTCTTGCCATAAAGATACATGTCACATTAGATCAAAGGCACGTTAGCATCTGGAACGTGGAAAGTGCCTTTCTCTCTCACAACAATTAGAAGATATACAGTTGTCCCGACTTTGAGTAGACTGAGAAGGGGATGTGAGTTTACAAATAATTGTGTATCCAACTTCATTGAGAATATGTAAATACATTCACACTGCAGAAAAGCCCTTTTAGTACAAGGAACATGGACATTCTGCTGTTTGTCCTGGTTCATTTTGCAAATGTAACATGACAATATAGCAAAATGATGAGTAAAATCACTGTGGCAAACCTCTGAATTCTTCCAATTCACTTTAGAAATGTGGAAAAACTCACATGAGAAAAATGTGTCAGAAAGATGAACCATGTACTAAACGCTTTAACCACCATAGCTATCTTCCAATATACAAAAGGAACCATAATAAAGTAGAAACTTATGAATCGAAACAAGTGATAGAACTTTACAATTTGATCTCTTTTTACAGTAAACTAGACAAAATTGTAAAATTAAACCATATAGATAGCCGGGCGGTGGTGGCGCACGCCTTTAATCCCAGCACTTGGGAGGCAGAGGCAGGCGGATTTCTGAGTTCGAGAGTTCGAGGCTAGCCTGGTCTACAGAGTGAGTTCCAGGACAGCCAGGGCTACACAGAGAAACCCTGTCTCGAAAAAACCAAAACCGAAAAAAAAAAAAAAAAAACCATATAGATAAAAAGAGTCATCACTGTAATCAATGTGGTAGTGTTAATACATGTCAATTGTCTTCACAGGCATAAAGGAAGTCTTGCCAGAGACAAACCCTATGAATATATTCAATGTGATAAAGCCTCTACACTTCACAGTGATCTTCAAAGGCCTGAAAGTATTCATTCTGCAGAGAAACCATATCAATGTGGTAAAGCCTTTTCTTACCACAGTAATCTCCAAAACCATAAAGGAACTCACAATGGAGGAAACCCCTATGAATGTGATGAATGTGATAAAGCCTTTTCACAAAAAAGTAATCTCCAACAGCAAAAAAAGTCACATTCTGGAGAGAAACACTATGAATGTAATGAATGTGGTAAAGCCTTTTTACAACCCTGGAATCTCCGAAAGCATAAAAGAACACATTCTGGAGAGAAACCCTATGAATGTAATCAATGTGGTAAAGCCTTTTCACAACACAGTCATCTCCAAAACCATAAAAGGACACATTCTGGAGAGAAACCCTATGAATGTAATCAATGTGGTAAAGCCTTTTCACAACAAAGTCATCTCCAAAACCATAAAAGGACACATTCTGGAGAGAAACCCTATGAATGTAATCAATGTGGTAAAGCCTTTTCACAACACAGTTATCTCCGTATTCATAAAAGAACACATTCTGGAGAGAAACCCTATGAATGTAATCAATGTGGTAAAGCCTTTTCACAACACAGTAGTCTCCGAATTCATAAAAGAACACATTCTGGAGAGAAACCCTATGAATGTACTGATTGTGGCAAAGCCTTTTCAATGCACAGTACTCTCCAAATACATAAAAGAACACATTCTGGAGAGAAACCCTATGAATGTAATCAATGTGGTAAAGCCTTTTCAGATCACAATTCTTTCCGAAAACATAAAAGAACACATTCTGGAGAGAAACCCTATGAATGTAATGAATGTGGCAAAGCCTTTTCAATGCACCGTACTCTTCAAATACATAAAAGGACACATTCTGGAGAGAAACCCTATGAATGTAATCAATGTGGTAAAGCCTTTTCACAAAAAAGTCATCTCCAAAACCATAAAAGGACACATTCTGGAGAGAAACCCTATGAATGTAATCAATGTGGTAAAGGCTTTTCACAACAGAGTCATCTCCAGTACCATAAAACAACACATTCTGGAGAGAAACCCTATGAATGTAATCAATGTGGTAAAGCCTTTTCACAACACAGTAGTCTCCGAATTCATAATAGAACACATTCAGGAGAGAAGCCCTATGAATGTACTGATTGTGGCAAAGCCTTTTCAATGCACAGTCATCTCCAAATACATAAAAGAACACATTCTGGAGAGAAACCCTATGAATGTAATGAATGTGGTAAAGCCTTTTCAATGCACCGTACTCTCCAAATACATAAAAGGACACATTCTGGAGAGAAACCCTATGAATGTAATCAATGTGGTAAAGCCTTTTCACAACAAAGTCATCTCCAGTACCATAAAAGGACACATTCTGGAGAGAAACCCTATGAATGTAATCAATGTGGTAAAGCCTTTTCACGACAGAGTCATCTCCAGAGACATAAAAGAACACATTCAGGAGAGAAACCCTATGAATGTAATGAATGTGGTAAAGCCTTTTCAGAACACAGTGTTCTGCAAAATCATAAAAGAACACATTCTGGAGAGAAACCCTATGAATGTAATCAATGTGGTAAGGCCTTTTCAGATCACAATTCTTTCCGAAAACATAAAAGAACACATTCTGGAGAGAAACCCTATGAATGTAATGAATGTGGCAAAGCCTTTTCACAACAAAGTCATCTCCAAAAACATAAAAGGACACATTCTGGAGAGAAACCCTATGAATGTAATGAATGTGGCAAAGCCTTTTCACAGCACAGTTATCTACAAATACATAAAAGA